TATTTAAAAAATATATGTAATCTACGTATGTAGTTAAGAGGGCTCTATTGCGCAAGTCGCAATATGTTCGATTACTTGCAGTCTCCAGTACTAGGAATACAGACTTGAGTTGGAGCTTGAATAGAGCTGTGCCGGCGTAGGGCCTAGACACACGCGTCGCGGCGGCCGGCAGCGCTACTTCAGGCACTGAAGTCAACTCGTGAACATTTGTAAATGTGTAAGTAAACTTTACATTAAACTCAATAGTCTAATGATATTTATTTCAGGTTGCCTCTATCTAAATTCGACAACTAATTAATTACTTACTTACAACAAACTTCATCTGTCTACTTATTTATATTTTTAAATTAGGTACCTACTAGTTGAAATTTTCCAACGATATATTTTATGATTTATTGTGTGACTCCATGAAGAATAAGGATTTTATTTTATGAATTTGAAAAAGTATGCGGGAACCGACAGCAATAGTTTCCGCGCCAAAACTAAAGCCGAAGCGATCGGTTGAAACTTGTCTAAACATTGGCGTATCGTAGTGGGTATCGGCGGCCGGGGACGGAAGACTATTTTACCGCCCCCAATTAGCGTTTCAATTAAAATTACATAAGTACATTAATTATGTGTGCGTCGTGGGGGTGCGGAGGTTTTAAATCTGACAAGTACTTAGGTATTAATGATTTCAATCCACCAAGAGGGCGGAGGGGACTATAACTTCCCCTCTACCTTCCAATGCTACCCCTACCCAATTCCTTTAAGCCCAAAACCTTATATTTATTACCTATATCACCAAAAAATCTGCAACACACTCCGCAACCCCTCTGGTGTTACGGGTACCCATGCTATCAGGCAATCCGTCAGCTCGAAGGCCCTAGTATCAAATTGTATCGAATACAAAAAGCCATCCAGTATCCGACGTCGAGCAATAAATTGGAAAAAACGTAAGAAAATTTAAATTTGCGGTATATCTCTTGAAACATACTCCTAAAACGTGCGTACCTATGTGAATTGTGAAACTTAACAATCCAGCGTAATAAAACAAAGTCGTTTATTCAAAACAGGTAAACGAAGTTACCCGTTTGGGAAAAATAAATAATTTTAGGTCTGAAACGGACAGCTTTCTGGCGTGACACAGTACGCTACGCCACCTTAGCATGTTTCGGCCTAAAAACATTGTAAACGTGTGCCTAATCCGTTTTAAGATTTTACAAAGTTATCAATACACGAGTTGCTGCTTAATCTAGTAGGTTTGTGAAGGGCTAATTTAAGATTAAATTGGGTCAGAAAATGTTCAAATTCGAGTGAAATTTTATTTCTTTTTAAAATATCAATGTTAAAGTCTCCAGTTAAGATGATATTTTTCTTAGAATTTAAACAAACTTTTCTTAAGATATATTCTAATTTATCGTAAAATATATTGTAATTATTTTTTGGTATGCGATATATACAAATAATAACAATCTTGTGATGAATTAGTTCAATAGCGCAGGCTTCGAAGACACAGGACTCTGACTGTTTTGCCACTTCTGGAATTTCTCTAAATTGAAGGCCTGCCCTCACAAGAATACACGTACCCCCGCGCTTAGCCTTTCTAGAAAAGAAAGCCGCTGGTAAAAAATTTGGTATATGCAACAAATTTTCATAACCTGACTTAATAAAATGTTCTGTTATACAAATTACATCAACATTTGTTCCTAAATTGTGAAGCTCATCTAATTTAACTGTTAATGTATCTGATTTGTTCATGAGTCCCGCTATATTTTGGTGTAGTATATTTAGGTATTTATAGAAAAAACTGAGAGGTATTTTGTGAGTCTAAACCAGTTATCTCTCCCTGGGAACAATCAACTTCAGAGCCACTAGTCATATTAGTAGTGAAGTTCTTAGTGCTATAATACGAGATCATGTCCAGTATGTCTAATATAATAATTTGTAAACCTTTATTATTTAGTGTCCCATAATGAGGGTTATATGTATCATAAGTGTATGGCAAATTAAGGTTAGAATCTAAAACGTATGCATAATTACAAGTTTCTACATCCATATACAGTAAGTTATTAAAAGTTTCAACTCGGCTGTTGAACATCACATTAACATTGTTCATATATTTATAAGTAGGTAGGCATATTATAAAATTTGTATGAGTTAAGGGTAACAATTTTTTACGAATAAGTACAACAAGTTCAATGTAATTTTGAGTTCTTTTAAAATCTTCATCTCCTATACAGATAACACAGAAATCTGATTTGGTAAAGTTCTGAACTTTTTTATCTATATTGTCTAGTATTATTTCTAAATTACAATTCGGCTTACGATAGTGACATATTTCATAATTATTTCTTGAACAAGAGTAATTATTATCTATTAGTTTACATATTCTACTGCTTTTTTCACCACTGAGGATACATAATTTATGTTTTATAGAAGCATCATGTTGATGAGGTTTAATAACATTATTCAATATTCTATTATGAGAAGAAGTAAGAGTGACGTCTTTGTTTTCTGTTCTGCTGTCTTGATGTGAAGTAATATTGCCAATATTTCTATTAGTTTTTGTTAACTTGTTTTGTCTTGAATGAGCTCTCTTGGATATTGTTGACTGTTGTTGGTGTGAATAAGTAGCCTTTTGAACATAAGAATCGTTTTTTTTCGATAATTCTTGATTCTTTTCTTTCAAACTGCTGATTTCCAAACATAATATCTCAACTTTCTTGTTAGCATTATTTAGTTGAGACGTCAATTCATCAATCTTATCTTGTAATTTTTTAATTTCATGGGTCTCATCATCTTCAGACATTTCTGGCATACTATTTGTGGTATAATTTAGGGTTTGAGACGTGTTATTGCTGTCATCCTGGTTAGATTCCGATCCTTTGCTTCGACGACGTCGGAATGTTATGTTTTCCAAAAAATTCATGTTTTTTTTTTATTGTTATTCCAGTGTTAACAAAAAAAAAACTACCAAGTTTTTTTTTTTAGAAAAAATTTATTTGGAGTGTCAACACTGATATTAGTATGGTAACACAGAGAAGCGACTAAAATGGTTTCTATTCGCTACTAGATGTCGTTGTCCATAATAATTATATTGTTAATCACTTTTTATGCCTTGTAACACTATGATAAGTCTAGTAACATTGATCGTTTTACTTTTGCTGCTCACTACTAGATGGTGCTGTTATCAACATTTAAAATATTTTAAATAAAAAACGGAATTCGTAGTGTTCCTTTTTGTATTTTTTCGCAAATCACTGTATTAAAAAGATGTTTTAGGGGTTACTTTATTTAGTTATAGCATATGAAATGTTAATACCAGTTTAATTTTCACTTGTTTTCACTTTTTTTGCTACAATAGTCAGTTTTTTATTTTTCGTAAATCACTGAGCTAGATTATTAATTACTCAGCGAAATTACTCAATAACACTTTCACAGCTGGTTTGTAAGTTCTGCTTCACTTTACATTTATCACATTGTCCAAATACACCAATAAAACTATTATTTAACTAATTTTACATGGACCACAACAATTAGCAATGCTAGCTAGTGCACGCCATCTAGCGACTGATGAATACATAAACTTCCAATGGTAAAATTTGGGCATCGGGATGAGCGGGCATCAACTTGTGCCCAAGCGCTACAGAGTTACAACGATGCCCTGTAAGTATTTACCTGTATTCTGTCGACCGACACCACAACCTGTACGTACCTACTTGAGGTTTTCCACGACTATATTGGGCGGGTCTGGTTCTGGTCGGGCGGCGAGCTACCCTTACTCGCCGTCCGCAGACCCGCGCCTACGGTGGCTGGAAATCATCTCTAGATCCCCGACGCCCGTAATGTCGCCTACTGCGGCGGCTGGGGTGCGAGGAGGATAGTTCCCTCACACGCTCCGCCCCCTCCTTTGCGAGCATCACTGCTTCGCAGAAAGAGGAGACGGCTCCCCAGTTCCTCTCGCTTCGAACCATGGCCTCGACTAAGGTCGGGCGCGAGAAATCGCCGCCACCGTTTACTTCCCCGAGAACACGGCGGTGCTCAGCCCAAGCAGGGCACTCCACCACCGTATGCTCCACCGTGTCCTCTAAGTGGTCCAATAATAAATAAATTCTTGGGTTTGCTATGGTATTATTTTGTCGGGCAACAGTAGGTACGGTTTCACATACAGTTTTTAAGCTGCAGAAAAAACTAATCCGGGTAAAAGCAAATATTGAGGAAACGGATAGCTACAGACCATATTTCCAGAAATATAAAATACCTACTTACCCTGACCTGCCTTTACATCTTAGAGACAAGTAAATTTGTTCGTCAACATCCAGATGTCTACACTACCCAAGAACAAAAACAAAGTAAAAACACATTACGCCACAAAAACAGACTGAACCTACCCCCATCCCGACTTAAAATATATCATTCCGGCCCTATATTGTACCTATGTATAAAATCGGAAGATATGACGTCATAATATTTTAACATCAAGTAGTTAGCATACTTATTTCTTAAAAAATAGCTAAGCAGGTAGATAAATAAAAAAATAACTGTATCAATAAAACAATGAAAGGAAGAATGACTATTTTTCTATATTTAATTGTATTTTAATGTCGAAATAATATATGTTTGACTAAGGTAACTACTTATTTGTGTGAATGACCGAAAAATATAGTTTTTTAAATTTTCCCGCCTTCCTAGTTTGCCGCCCCTGGCCCTTCCTTATAAGCTAAGCCAAAATAAGATCAATAATACGATTCCTTTAAAAATATGATTTAAATATCCTTCTTACGAAAAAAAACATGTTATTTCTACAAAACAATATACTTACATGCAATTTAAAACAATTAAACAATTTTTATTATTGTTAAATCCCAAATGACAACTGCGTTAGTAGGAACGTATCGAAATAATGAGTCTTTGTAATCCAATAGAAATCCTCTTGTTACAATTTATAACCAATCGGATGGTTCAAGTTATACTTTTAGACAAATGGAATTTAAGGAATCTTGGTAAAGTTACTGCGTTAAGATGTTTTAATTTTAAGTCTCGTCTGGTGGCGTTTTCGTATCTATCTTGGGTTTCATAGTTTTTTCTCTTGAATACAATAAGTTATTATTTATATAAAAATCGCAATTATAGTATTACAGAGTATAATTTGTATAACGGAATAAGAAAGTTTGTTAATTTTGTGCTTCAAATAGACATAACTATTTGGTTATGATGTTATTTTACGACCAAGTATTTTTTTTGACGCTGCGTAAATTATTGAAATAACATGAAATTGTTTGTCTAGCCCAAATAAATGATAAGAAAATGGCATCTTCTAACGCGGAGTTGCAAGAAAGGTGTAAACTTTATTACAAGTTTACTAAGGTTTTGACCCTGAAAGTAGCGCAAATCGTGGTCCAGAGTAGACAAGGGAAGAAAATAACACATGAATTTAACTCCAAGCTCCCGGACAACGGCGTAGAGTCTTCACCGCAATGGGTAAGATGTTATGTTTTTTGTTTATACAATGGAACCACATGCTTGCTGGAATGTAATTGTTACGTGCTTAGCCTGCTCAACTATTGAAGTTCATTGTTTATTATAGATACATTTTCATTTTCAGTACAAACTTGTTGAATTGTCCCATGTAAATCATATACCGCTGTAGTTTGCTTCAATCTACACTGTTCATAAATTATTTTCAAAATGCATCTGTAGTACCTATAAAATAAGTACACAGGTTGATTAAAATATATTTACTTTGATTAAATATAAATATGGTTTGATATTGGTTCTTGCTGTTACATTTTCTTTACATAGTTTCCGGTTTTTTATTACAAGACCGCCTGGTTTACTTTTGAATGGTCAGTCATACAAAATTAGTTAAGTATTATAATCAAGTTATTGTTGTAAGGATACTTGCATGCAGACTGTTTTTACAGAAGATTTTTGGTGGGATTTTAATTCTTTTTGTAGAATCGGTTGGCACAAACAATGTTTTCAATGGCTTCAAGTTACAAAAAGATAAAATAGATTGAAAGCATTGTCCTACTACAATAGAGAAACTTATACAGCCAATTTTTGTAATAGTTGGGTTGTATTCTTTTTTTATTTGTTACTTTGATAGGTTTCCCTTTATGTTCCTCGGTACCAAATATGTGCAATAAAGCAATTTCTTTTTACTGATGACCTACATGTGCAATTTTTGGATTTCAATCACTTTTTATATGATATAATCTTGTGCATTCTAGTCTTGTCAAGAGGCTTTCAAATAAGGACTTTAAAATTCATTGTAATATTTCCAGTAAAGGATGCTATGGCAGTGTTTGGTCTAAGACCAAATCATTGGTTTTTGAATGCTGATTTATTGTTTTGCTCTTTAAACAAACTTATGAAAGATTAGTGAACCCAACAGTTAACAGTCCAATTCTATGTGATCAATTTTTCTTAGTGTATAAACTCAATTTGCTAATTGCTACAAGATAAGTTCAGCGAATGTAACAATGTGTTTCTTCACAAGCCAAAGCGAAAGAATTTTTTTATGAATACTTTAAATTAAAAAGCATGTTTGATGAAGACAAAATTACATGACTAACTCACAAGACTAATTTAGATTCAGCTTCTAAGATATTTATTAATTAATTAGAACCCGTTGCATGGTAGTGGTATCTAAACCTTTGAGTAGCCAAATTATATGACTATTTTCCAGGTAAAGTTAGCCTACCTTCCATGTGCTAAATAATGCACTGGTTCTAAGTTTAGAGTTAAATAAGTTATCCATATTGATTTTCTGTTGCTAGAAAAATGGATGGCTCAATATAAAAGCAGATAAGTTTGTCACCGGGAAAAGTAGGTCACACCATGTGAGACTGTGCTACTCAAAGTTGTTTTAAACCAAAGAGGTTTTCACCTTCACTTTTAGTTTTCCAATACAATGTCTATTGTGGTTATATTTATCCTCTACTCTGTGTTTATTTTTCGCTATGGAGTTTTGTTACAAGTTTCTTTTAACTTTATTATGTTGCTCTAAATCTGTTGTCCCTACATATAATAAAATCTATAATGTTATTATCCATACAGTGTGGACAAAACTACAAAACATTATACCATCTCAAGTGAGAGAGCTATTGTTCAGCATGTATGGGCTGGCTCAATCATGGGCTCATCCTGAATTTCCAAATAATAACTCTTAAAATAACTAGACCATGCTTAAACTACTTAAAAGTAGTACAGTTTTATTAGTCTTAATGCGTCTTAATGCGTTAATACATCTAAAAAAAACTTATAATAATACAGATCAGTACATTGTGAAACTATGTTGCGTTGCAATAGTGTTAGCTTGTAGCTGAGTCTCCGGCACATAAAAATAAGATTGAATCAAACACGGTCAGGGAACACTGCTGAGCTTATAAGCTGCTTTTGCGTGTTTTAAATAATTCAGTACCGCAAGTGCGACTTTTGAGTATGAGGTCCCAGGATTTGAAAGCGAATGCTGCAGGCGAATTTTGGCCTTCAAACTTTTCAGCATCTGGCAATTAGCTTTGAGTTTAGGATTCGGTGTATATACGCATAGAAATTTGCGTAATTTAACAATAGGAATAATGCGAATTACATACCTATAATCGCTATCCACCTTGCCAGCGAGCGAAGTTTGTCTCTGTTTTGTTATATTTAAAGTATTATGATTACCGGCTACCGATGTTTAAATTGTCACCATAAAAGTAATTAATTATTGTTATTTACTGGTAACATACAGTACATCCCTTTAATAATTATGATTATAATTAAATAAATAATGAGGAAGTAGGTACTGCTGGAGCGCGATAGCATACATAAGTATACCAGCCTCTTTCAATATTGAATTGATATTAAATTGAAATGATTCTTGTTCCAGTTCAACTTGTCGATTCCGGATGAACCGGGGATCACTGAGGACACGAAACGTGTACTGAATGGCGAGGTAGTGGATGCACTGGCGAAGGTTCTATGTATCGAGATATCTCTGCACACTGTCGACGGGGATGACATGGTGCTAGAGCTGTGGACTGTCAAGCTGTCTCCCGGCAGTGAGGTCTGCTCCCCTTCAACGGTCTACTATCGCATGAGCGTGATGCTCAAATCAACCCTGACCATATCCAGGATAACACCGGCCTACAAACTGTCGAGGTCACAGCATAATGAATCTTACAAGATATCCCATAAGATTTATGGGGGTGAACCTGATTACGATGTTTTAGGTAAGCTGTTGTTGCAAGTTGATCATTCCTCGTTTATTAACTGTACGCGCCTGCATTTATAACTCGAATTCAAATGCCACATTTTAGATGACCCTTTCAATTCGTAAAAAGATGCATATCGGTCATACATATTAATACTTTCAAACAAAGGAAAGAATGTCTTTAACTTGATATCGACACAGTGATTAAAAAGATATTATTTGACACCTTGATACAGGCACGTGGGTTTAGCGAGACATTGTAGATACAAAAAGAAACAATACACATAAATCATCAATTAATCAACACACGCGTTAATCCTAAAACGTAAATAAAGTGATACCCAAACGCGATAGCAATCACTAAGTGGTTACATAAGTAGATCAAAATACCTAATACATGATATCCTGCACTGAGATAAGCAAGTAATTAACATATTGCCGTTGTGCTGGCAACGATCGTGTTCATTAACATTCATCTGTCACGTAAGGTATATGCGGGCCGTCCACTAATAGCTGCGCATTGTTAAGTCAACACTCAGCACGCAACTCTGCTACATCCTGTCCGGATGACCAGCCAGTTCATAAATATAAGTATAGCTAAACCTACTCTGTGCCTTATCGCGATTAGCCTCTGTAGATCTAAGTGACCCTAGTCAATAGATAAGTAGGCTCGCCTTTTAATTAACTCTGTTTGTGCCCATTGCCCATTGGTACTTACGATATTTTAGGCAAAAATTAATTGATAACATAAACAGATCAGGACCTATAGACGCTAAGGATTCATGCTGCACGTTGAAAAATGTTGGTTCCGTTCAGGTTGTTTTAACACTTCCAGTAATGCGATGAGACATTGGGTCACAAACGTGACGTTAATTGTGTGATGTTTTAAAACAAGTCCATTTATATTTGTAGGTGAGAAACGTAAGACGATAAAAGTAAGTGAGCTGCACACACCTATCGGGACTTTGATGATAGAAGTGGTGTACAGGACGAAGATGACGATCATGCCTGAAGCGAAGCAGAAGATCGAGTACGAGGCTTCACCAGCCACTGCTGAGATCATGGTGAAGAGTGATCACTTCTACACTGAGAGTCCCAAGTACGTATTGCTGTGATTGTATTCAAGATCAAAGGCAGTTTGCTGAAAGGAAAGATGCCATATTTTTTTACGAAAATCTATCATGGTTCATGTGACAGAGAGGGTTGGACAGCGGAGTTTTACACCCGGTTTCTGAAAAGCCGATCAATGTTAAAATCAATTTAATCTCTTGTCAAGTCATCTAATTGGCTGACTGAATTATCAACAACCAATCAGATGACTTGACAAGAGGTTTAACAGGAGATTAGTTAATTTTAGCGTTGACAAGCCTTTCAGAAACCGGGTGTTAGTATTAGGGTTGTCGTGTTTACCCTCAGGGTAGAGAATCATAAAAAATACAGATTTTAATCTAAATAAATTGCAAACAACGTAAAACTTATTGAATAAGCACGGCTTGTCACGTGACGACAGAAGTTCAAATACTTAGCTTAGACAGACCGATCTCGATGTCAGCCTGTCTACCAGCTGCAAGTTTCCCTGTAATAAATATGTTATGATGTTTTGACTAAATCATGAGTTTTGCTGTAGGTACAGTTCTCAGTATGCCATACACACATATCACTGAATAGTTTAAATACAATATTATTATATTATTATTTATTACAACAAATGCTTATAATAAGCAAATAAATAATAATTTTATTTGAGTACCTATATTAATATTATTATTTAAAAGCAATAAGTATTTACAATTTCTTCAAAAAATAATCAAGGTTTTTTCTGCATTATTGACAGACATTGACATACAGATTAGACAGTATGTGAATCCTATTCTTCACTTAAAATATACATAAAGATTACATTGAAAGTAAAGTGAAAATTCAATTAAATTTCTGCAGCATTACAAGCCTTTTATTGTTACAAACATATTAAATGTAAAACCAAACAAAATACTAAACTAAGATATAAGTTAAATACTAAGCTACGATTCTGCCTGACTATACTCAGGTACAACATGTTTAACCTTTTTTTGCAATGTTGTTTTATAAAATGTCACTGGTTACTGTATCATTAGAGAGTATGAGGATTCTGAAAATCAAGCTACAATGTGGTATATTTTTGGATAGCATTCACTGGTAAAATACTGTTCAGTATGTTTATAACTTCCAGGACAGAATTATAGATAAAATTTAACGGAGATTTAAATTTTCTCTGGTCTATTACTAAATAGGTTGCGATTGATCTGAAATTCGACATAGTAAATCAAAACTTCTCTATTGTAGAAAAAACCGGAACGAGAAGAAAGAACTAGACTTGTCCAAACCCTTGACAGCGGGAGCATTTGTAGACCAGACAAAGATACAAGAATTACATAGAACACTCAGTGAGCAACTACCTCCAGAGCCGCCCATGGCCTGGTTGCTTGCCGAGAAGGAGAAAATGGAAAACGTAAGTTGATGTTAATGATTATATAAATAAAATAATACAAAAATAAATATTTCGTAGAGGGGTCCAAGATATTAATTTTTCCGGGATGCGCCTGACTTCAGTATTTCGGTGTTTTCATAGTTGTATCTACAGTAGATCCTGGCATATAAGAACTGCAGCGCAATTTGAACGTATTGGTATGTTTGACAAAATAATTTGAATGTTACAGAAAATGAAAACGCTTACGACATCAGACACTGATAACGCGCTGACGACATCTGACCACGAGAATGCGAATCAGCCGAGCTGCAGCAGTGGCGTGGGTGCACCGAGCTCGTCGAGTCACGCCGTCAGCAGGGCCATCGAAGTACCCAAACCTAAGAATGGAGATAAATATACCGGACTTATGGTAATCCTATATATCATTATGTTATTTTAACAGATCATCAAATTTCGTCGAGCGTTTTAATAAAAAAAGTCGTCTGCAAATATTGAAAGTCATTCGAGTAAGAAAATCATCCATATAATGATGATATCATAAGTCTGCTATCAAACACTAAAAAGAGAGAATTGTGAGTTAACGTATTCTGTCTCAACTTTCAGGAATTCCCCTTTGCTGATGGCAGTCCGATTGCGGAATTGGCAAACTTCTATCAGGAATGCTTACAGGCAAGGTCTATTAGTGATGAGTGGACGGACATCGTGATCGATTCGGGTTCCACAGACTCGGAGTCGCTGTCGAAGCAACTCAAGATGTTCGAAGATGCCGTCCCAGAGTTTGACAACATGGTGGCTTCCATGTTCAGCAACTCTGAAGGCTCAGATCGCTCCTAAACCCGACTGGAAGTAAGACTGCATGATTGTTATTATAGTAAAGCCCTAGTGTTGCGCAGTGCGAATAAAATATTTAAAATAATCTGAGATTTTTTCTGACTTTAATAAGTCAGTAGTTGGATAGGACAACGAAATCGGCATTTATGTATTTGACAAAAGTAAAAAGTGTAGTAATAGGAAGATATGTACGTTTCCACTGTTAACTCTAGATCATATAATATGGACTACAGATGTTTATGTATAACTGTCATATCCATGACAGCCGTCAGACGTCAAGTTTGACAGCCGTCATTAATGTCAAGTAAAATTATGTGAACTTTATTGAAGTTATTTAATGTTAGCAGTTTGCCGTTTGCAGCATACCGATGTGTTTGCAAGGATTTTATATAAAGTGTTTAATAGTTTGTATAAACCGTGTAACGGTACCTTCTCTCGTTTCGCATCTCTTCGCACTGCTTGAAAGTTGAGGGTTTGTAAATATTGTAATGTTATCAACTATTGTATTGCATTGGATAGTATAAAGCGCCATCTCGTCTAACCTGTGCTTGAGCCGAATGGCATGTGAGCGCTTGTCTACCGAGACTTGCGTACATTGACGGGAGACAAGCATCCTCATGCCGTTTCGGCTCATAGCACTGAATCGATGCTTGTTTGGCCAAACGCCCGCTGCGTGCAATTCTATGTTACATCCTACCTACTGTAAAACTCTGGCTATATTGCTCAAATTTGCACAGAGCCTATACAAAAAGACAAAGATAGTTAAAGCATACCTCAAATGTTATCAAACTTAGTGGCTGTATGCAACATGGTGTATGTTAAGAAAATAAGTATAGAGTTGTTTGGCATTAAAGTACTTGCTAGTTTGTCCTGCAATACTCCATTACATCTTGCAGATGGCATGTACTGCCTCTGGCTGGGAAGGACAAGGGCAAGGCAAAGCTATCATACTCAAACTTGCTACACTAAAGACTTCCTTGTTGGACATTATACTCAAGCTCTAATTCTATGTTCAAACAATAAAGTGCAAATTAGTATCTAAACTTCACTCTGCAATGCTCATATTACTGTAACTGATGCTTTTTAGGCTAATTTTGTATCATAACTACTAATCAGACTAAACGCCACTACTCTTTATATTTCCTAAGTATGCTTCATTTGCATCGCAGAATGTAGTAGGGATAGGAATTTCTAATATCTAGAAAGAGTAGGGATAAATTCATGGGGCTGATATGACATCTAGCTGCAGTATAGTCATCACTGGCTCTACATGTGTGTGATGCACATATAATATAAAGTTGGCACTTTGGCTGGCATGTGGATATCCCCCCCATGAGTTTTCAGCGTAAGATACTCGACACTTGTGGCTATAAATATAAAATATTTATACCTTGAAGCAACGTAAGACTGGGAACTAGACAAGACTTTTGGATGACGTACGACTGACCTGATGAAGGTAGCCTCTATTGTAATATATAGCGCGCCGCGGTTGACTCAACTACTCACTTATTACGATTACACACCTGACGGATCCTTCGAGATCACTCAGTGGCATAGTTTATACAGCGTTCGTGTTATAAACAAAATTTTAATATTGTTTCTTGCTTTACAATGTAAAATCATTTATTATGTAAATTAGTGGTACCTAGTTTCTAGGTGAAGCTTCAATGTAAATATTTGTGTGAGAGATAAGAATAATTTATTCGATGGTAAAGGTCATGTAGGCTGTAGCAGTGTAGGTGTCAACATTGTTACTCGTTGCTTGTAATTGAATGTAGTGTAGATTTTACACGTCGCCAGCAGACATGTTGCTGTACTCTTGTATACCGTTACTATATCGTACTTGTGTATTTCCACACATAATAATAACAGGTCCATACAGACGACAGTTCTAAGTTCTCCTACAAATAACTAAGATTTAGCGTACATAGTTACTGTAATCACGTTAGAATACTAATTATAAATACAACCGTATGGCATCAACAGCGGCCTTTTGCAACTGTAACATAGTGCAGCGTAGTCCAGATTATAAATAAATAGATCATATTTAAGCGGAGTGCCTTCGACGAAACGACTATGACCCAAAGTGTCATTCAACGTGCCAACCCTAATATCGTCACCGTCGCCACACTGGTATATGACAATTTATTGAATACTCGTTAGTGTCGGGATCTAGTAATATCACATTTTTTGTTTATAATATAGGTGTGTATGTGTACAATTTTCCCATTCCTCTAGTTGATATTATATATATATGTAAATAGGTGGTCATATATCAGAATGTAGTAAAACGGCTACTGCAAGTTACATGTAAATCTAACATCTTCATTAATTTATTTTCTTTAAGTTTTGGTGTTGTTAGTTTGTAAACGTTTTGTTTCGCTAGTCAGTCGTTAATGGTTATATACATTGGTGTTGTTGTCAATGATACTAAATTATATTGCGCCTCGTGGGTTCGATTAAATCGACCAAATTTGATTGTACATACAATATAACCAAATCAAAAGATATATAAAAAAAATGTAGGGTTTCTTCAAACAAGTCGCAATAAAATAAATCTAAAAAAAATACCGTTTAGTTCTCCTCGAAAATTATTTGTTTTATTTGTTGGTTAATACGAATAGAATAACGGCAATATTGACATATGTATGTATTTCTGTAGGTACACGGGGCGCGAGTTAGCTAAGTAAGTTCGCATTTCACGCATAATTAGTTAGGTAAAGTAAATTACTTAAGGCTCGAAATCTATAAGCAAATCAGATAACATTAAATTTTTATGTAATATGCAGTTGAAGTATATATTATATAATGTATTTGTTATGAAATGTTGATAGAAAAATATATATTATATATAATTAGTATTGTTACCACAGTTATATCGCTTTATTTAGGAATAAGGTGAATAAACTAAAAGTTGTTTTCCACTTCCGTCAAGTTTATTTCCTTGTCTTTCCAAAATCTAGCTGTGTCATTTTGGTTATGCTAAAGACAACTATAGGGACTTATGTCTTATGGATGCTGGGACTGACACGCTGACATTCAATATACATTTTTTACATTGAATAAAAAAAAATATGTCGACAATAGCATCTCACACGCACAATGTAAGATTTATTGCTAGAAAAGATCCAAGCGAAAATTTATTAACTAATGAGCATGACAGCATGGTTTGCAACTCACATAGTTACACATTTACTTTATAATTAACAGCAATTCCTAACTATCCATTCAATATATACAGCGTAGCGCTTTCTAACAACCGTATATAACTGTAAAATTCCTTAATTCCTTTATAAATTATAAAATCACAATTAAATAAACCAAACTTATACCCAATATTACAACTTATAAGTACATTAAAGTCGATTATTCACTACCTTTTTATTCTGTTACTTTAATTCCAATTATATTATGTTTATTTTTGAGGAGTAGGAAAAGAAAGCAGGTAAACTCGACCTTGCAGCGGCATATGTAAGCCATATTTATGTGCCGTTGCATCCTATTCTATGTTCGCTTATTACTTACATTTTTTCGGTAAATAAGAAATATCTGTTTATAATAAACAATAAAGTTTTTTTGCTCATTTTGTATTTAATTTCAGCTTAAACTATTATTGATCACGTTCAGTACTTTAAATTATTAGTAACAACAGTATTTAGGGTCTGTTTTCACTGAGTTGTATTCCTGATATATTACCATGTCATCCAATTGACCATTGAATGTGTAAACGTGTGTTTCATATTAACAGGATTACAAATCAATTAAAACACGCACTAAATTATGTTTATTTATTATGTTTTTGCAACAGTTTTCATTACGTCATTAAGTCTATATTTACGTGGAAATAAGTCATACTTGGGTGTAAGTAATCGCCATATAAGTAAGGGATAATTAAGCTTTTGATTTAAGACACATAGTTGACCAAATGAACATTTGTTATGTATCGTAAATGTATTTGTATAGCGGGATAGCTATCATACGTTGAAGCACATATTATAGTATATTTTTATATCAATTAATACATTGTTGGCCAAGTCATACATTATAATGTATTATTTAGTCAAATATGGTTCACTTATATAACTTTCCAGGCTTTATCAGCATAATACAAGAAGCAATACACAGATTATGTGCTAACAAAGCATATACATATATATTCAATATAATATTAGAATTACTACTCAGTATGAAATAATGTGCTGTTCATAACTATACTACGCATAAGCATATAATTAGTACCTACCATAGTATCATTTACAATACTAACTCTCATATGAAGTACAGTAAGTACATACAGAATACTCAAACAGCAATTTAATCAGGAAACGTGAATTTTTATTTATGATTATCAGCATACTTGAAAAAGTAATAAAAAATCGATAAGTAAAGTAATCATCACATCAATGAAATCGGAATATACTATTGTATTATACTTTTTTAGAATGAATATACTGAAAAAGTAATTCGACATTCAAAGATAAAACAGAAGCCTTCTGCAATACTAATAATGACTTTCCTTGTTGACATTATAAATTAATAAAAACAAACCTAATTTAGTTTAAATTGATTATTTTGTTGTAATTGTAATGACCATGACTGCAGTGAATCGATTTTTCCCTCCAATAAACCATAAATAGGTTGACGAAGTGAAAGAAATACAAACAAATACGACGCACGTGTCTAGTAACTATTTGTAACATTTGACAACTACAGTATGCAGTTGTATGCATTGTGTTTGAGTATTCGTTTAACAATGGTCAAAAATGCATTTAATATTAACATCCATATTAGTATCAGATTAATATAAGAGGTTGTTAGTCAGGCGCCAAATGCTCTGTGGCCATCCACTGCACGGATCTACACGATAGACTCGTGCTTGTGTCAGTTTGTAGTATAAGACAAGTTATATTAAGTTATAAAAATGCATAACTGGATAAAACCTATGTCAAATTGTCAATATTCGACTTTATATCTAAACAGTAAAGTTCAAAGGAGCACGGACAAATGTTGATCAGAATCTTTGACTATAGCTGTACAAGTACCACTGCCATGGATAAGTTTCGGTTTGTTTGACAATAGTTCCAAGACATCGAAATAATAATATAGACGCGAAAATATAGCATTAAGGTGTAATACTAAGTCGACAGTACATACAATACATACATAGGTGCTTACACCAGCTGATATATACAACCGAAACCGAGGGCTCAAAACGAATATTTTTAGTAACAGTAGTTGTTGTCAATTTACTATCATTTCTACGCTTTTAATAATAAGCTTGGAAATTGAAGTCCACTGTAATCGTTGCTATCCCATCCGAATGGAGAAATCATCAGATACAATCAAAATCATAATACAAAACTGCATACATATATCACAAAACATAATATTTGATACGTTACATCACTGATTGTAACGCAGTACTATTGTACGTTTTGTGTACTAATTTATTTATTTATAGAATTAGTCGTGCGATGACAGCGTAAATCATTTACCATAGATTGTGTAGAGTACAGTTGTAATATATTTATTGCATTTGTAAATGGTCATTTTGTTTTATACACAATAGTATTTCATCAATTAACTTTACACGAGTTACGTTGATACATAACACATACGCAGATGTATATATCATCATAATTATGTTAAATCATTATTGTAGTGTGTCTAACACCTCACCGTATAAATAGAGTAAGCTAAGGTAATATTAGACCCTTAAACGTATTCATAAGTATAACACAGCTCTCATTGAACCCCGATCCCCCCGCATTGCATTGTGTTTCTCAAATTATGGTTGGTGGCCAATTTTAAAACTAGCTATAATTTGACCCACCTATGCGAAGGACAGACATTTAGAAGTAGTAAAACATTTCATAATAAGATTAAATCAATTGTACTCTACCCGTAGCTGTTTGTATACCTACCTAGTACATAAGTTGTGTCGTTATCATTAAGCCACCGCCACTGGAGTGCAACATGCCGCGTAACGTGTTCTCAGTCAACTATTGCGACTGGTCACAATCTTATGTAGTAGCAACATGTTTCATCTCCGATATTTCTTTTCCATGTTTATATAATGTAGTCCTAAGTTCCTATAGAATGCACAACATGTAAGAACAAATGTTGCTGTAACACGTTACGTAGTCATGTTGTGCTGGTGTAACAAGCTTGTAAGTGTTGCAAACACTGTGTTTGTGTTGCGTTTCGTAAAACATTAGCTTCATAGATTTGTAATTAATGTTTACACATGAACATTAACGGCTTCTGAAATAAAATACAGACTTTTCTAATCAAATTTTATTGGTTTTTCATTTTTAATACATCCTATATAACATAATTGCAACGAAAATATACATAACAAACATACATACTACCCCTTTAGGTCCTTATTAAGTTTAGTGAGAAATATGGCACTCAGACACTGCCATATTTCAAACAGTATAAAGTTTCCCTGAAGAAAATAAATAAAAAAGGAAAGTTTTAATCCCCCTTTTTACTGTTTATTTTACAAAGCACTCACTAGACTACTTTTTCTCTACAATTTTTTCACCCATATTAAGTTCCAGAGACTTCCGTATGTGTTTAGGACAAATGCTGTTCACCTTAACATTTTGTCCAGTCATGTTCTGTAATTTAGAAATTTGCGATAAAATAAAGCCTGTAGGTATTACATAGGGCTAGTTTTTCAATAGTCAGATAAATGTTATCTGAGGAATAAAATTGTTGCTGTCACTGTCTTATACAAACATTCTGAAGCGACAGCATCATAATTATTCCGCAGATAACGATTATCTAACCATTGAAAAATCAGCCCTTAATTATATTACTGTTGACAAAACGAGGGAAGCAATTCTTCGAGCAAACTAAGACCCAAGTAGGCCCAGCAGTGCTTTTGAAAGATTTAACGTGTGTTTTGGATAGTGAGGATTCATCAAGATTTTAATTAAATTATTAATACTATTGGAAAATATCCGCATTGCATCAAAGAAAAAGTTTTAAAGACAATTCGCTGGAGCCGTACTTCGCCAATTTTTAAAAGATACAATGATGAAGTAGCATATACCTACCTATGGTGCCACTAAATCAAGCAAGAAGGAATTTCAAAATTAAATTAAATACTTTAACGTTCTTAAAGTTATAAAAATAATTTCATTAGCGATGTTTCTTCCATTTTGTGGAGTGAAACGAAGAGTTCTCATTATAACGTTAAGATCTAAGCTCAAGATAGAGTTGCAGGTATAGGAATATCTGGCTTTTATGATTCTAAACAGATTTACTGTCGTTGCCAGTGAGTACTTAGATATCAATCATAAACACACATTACCTGATCGTCAAGAGGCGACTTGTAAGTTCTCAACAGTGTTGTGTTGTTATTCTCCGCTAGCAGCGACCTCCGATGGTGTGCAAGCACGGCGTCTTGCAGCATGGCATGCGTGATGCGCGCGCGGTCCGTGGAACGCGCCACGCAGCGCACAGCGTGCAGCGCGTCCAGTGCAATGTTCAGACGAATGCGACTCAGGAAGGCGTACAAAGAACGCTCTTCTTCCTTTTCCTGCAGATTTACAAAATATATTGATTTGGTATCGGTACGCTCTCACTAATTAGGTTCGTGGAACAATATTCAGAACAAAATAATAATTTAACAAAAGAATGGACAATTTTATAGACAAATAGTATGAACCTGTCGAAGTTCAGGTAAGGACAGGCGACAGAAGACACAATTTGGCTCTAAACTAATTTTAGATAACAATGAGTTAAGTATACCTTCTTTCGGTCTCTTGCAATTACTTCTTCTTGCTGGCGCTTTATTTCTTTGGCCCAGCCTCTGAAAAAAACAGGGAAACATCAATGAATGAAAATAGCAAGAAAACTGGACATAGGTACAATTTCAAGTTATACCTACGTTAAGAGCAGTTAATCTGCCTAAAATAACCAGGAATAAGATCGAAGCGCGATCCCATGCCTTGAGTGTCTCCTACTGCGGCAGCTGGAGCGTGTGAACGACAGTTCCCTCACGAGCTCCGCCTCGTCATTTACGAGCATCACTGCTTCGTGGTCAGAGGAGACGCCTTGAAGACACACCTCTAACGTGTGCTCCATCGTGAGCATCGTATTCTCCGGGTGATACCCTCAATGACGATAACCGGGCGTTTCATCCCGGCAGACCGGTTATACCGGTTTTGGTAAAACTCCTGCATTAGGCGGAGGGTGACTTCACGGCGTTTGTTAAACTACTCCTCAAGGAGGGGTTTTACCGCTGTTATAGCAGCAAGCCCGACAGTTACAGGTTAGTGATGATAATGATTTATGTAGTAAAGTAACTTACTTGCCAACAGCAAGGAAGTCCTCGAGAATTTCATTGTCCTTCGTGATCATGTCCACGCATTGTACCTTCGTCTCCGACCACACTTCATTCAACTTCAGCGTCAAGTAATGCGAACAAAGTACCAATATCACCTACGGAATTATTACAATAACTAGATTTATAATTTAAAGTTAATTAGTTACTAACATGCTTATACCAAAATACAGGTAATTATAATGAAATTGCCTAAAATTTGTAAGTATCAGCAAATATAACTAGTTTTTAAGCCACTTTTCTTAGGACGTGCCAAGGTTTTGGAACTCAAACGCAGTATGTATAGTTAATTAAGTCAAATAGTAAGAACCACAGAACAGAAAAAAATTCTATTCCGTGGTAAGAACTGATTAATTAGCAAAACAATTATTGTGTCTACAAAATGCAGATGTAGTAGAGATGGCAAAAAGAGACCTCGTCTTCCTGAGCTAGCTTTATGTTCTTATACAAGTTATACGCTTCGTCAGCTAGCTGCACCTTGTCGTGTAGGTCCTCAGACAGCATGTGCAATAAAGCGAAGGCCTGCAACAAACAGATGGGAGTCACCACCCTAATGTTGTATTATTAATATTACAATTTATGTATACTTATTGAGTGGGTAGAGACATCACAGATATGAGCCACTATTGGCACTGATGGACCGCCTAGACCGAAGTGGTAGGTACCAGAACCTCACAGAAAACCGGCGAGATAAAAACTTTTGAGTGATTTTAGGTACCGACGGTTTAAGCCTGACCCCTTCCCTTATACCTAAGATTTCTACCTACCTTGTAAATTGTAATTCACTTGCATCTCTTTTTTTATTTCGTGTATTCTTAGGCGGCTCCGATTGTTTACCATAAGGTGTTGTTGGAAATGCACCGTCACGTAATATTTTCTGTGTAAGGTCCCATGTATCTAAGGGTTCTGTAACCTAAGGGTCAAAAATAACAAAATATCTCCTCAAATTCCAACCTTCGACATGCACGAGCCAGCCATGTCCTGCGCGGTCAAGCAAAAAGGAAGAGAATGACTGATTCCGTAAAATACATCCGTGTTCTGCAGCTCTTCTCGAACATCTTCCGACATGATTGGATTATCCAAATCTGTCAAAAAACATTTAATATAATGGACGACTTGCACTGGAAGGGCGGTCGGGGATGTCGATTGCTTGGGTAGGTACCATCATTAGGTGTACCGATAGCTAGTTATCCGCCATTTTTCATTAAAAGTTATTAAATATATGAAAATAAGTAGATGTCGTGGTCATTATGAAAATTATTATAGTAGGAAATACGCAAATATGATGAGTAGAGTATCATTATGGGAATTAACTATAAGTATAGAAATTAAAATGTGTAATCGTTAAAAAGGAGAAAAACAGCTACAGGTACGAGTTATACCTACAGCAGTATACATGAACTTATTTTAAAAAGTAGAATTAGGTATCTGTCTTTTATCCTAAAACAAATAGAACTTTTCTCAGTTAATCACGAGACCGTATCATTACTTTCAATAAGAAAGCTACCCATCATCATGTGTAGCGTTTAAAACATCATTCAAAATGAATGTTGCAGTTACAGTTGCTAGTTACATTTTGGGCATAATTCTGATTAATTGCGGAAGTAGAGCAAGATTTGTGTGGTAGCCGTTATTTGTACTATGTGATCCTAAAAGTTGGCAGTAAGACATATTACTTTGTAACACTCCATATTCGTCCAGTTTAACTCCTGTAGACCGGCAACCTTCACGGAATACGGCTGCCAGCAGGCTCGCTATTGTTGCACCGCGTGCCACCACGTTCGGGTTCTGGACATAACATAGCTTAGTTAAGACAATTTGCTTGAAAGTATCAAAAAAGTCCTTGCTGCTATTTTCTGGAGTTAACACACTCATTGCCCTGGGTAATTAGAATCCAATTAAATTCCGTACGGAGCTGCAACTAGGTGTCAATATGAAAAATTTTTGTAACCATCGTTGTTGTAATAGGAACAAATTACACCAAAATCAGCCCCAATCTAGGACCAAAGGAGAATTTAACACACGTTACATGTACCAAGACAAGAGTCGCGGCTGTTCGGAAGTCATCATGCAAGCAGCTGTTTACAGAATGAGATATAATAATTCAATATTTTGTTTAAAAACATCAATTTTCATGCGAGTAGTAGTGATATACTTTCTTAAAAGCACTAGTATTTCATAATTTTATAAAACGATCAAATAGCCTCGTACAGCAATACTCGTGTAGTATGTGACGTAGACACAAAGATCAGTATCCCTATAGTAGTAGGGGATACTGATCTATGCAAAGTATGCTTTCTCCGAGTGTCCGACGAAAACTAATCGTTGGCCGCACGATTACCATTGATCCTATCATTTCACAGAAATACGACTTCAGATTGTTTTCACCTTCAGAATTAATTGAATTGTTGCTCAATTTAAAGATCTACGAGTACTTTTCAAGACATCGGCAAGCAAAATTTGGTGGTAAAACTTTATTTAGGTGTATTATAGATCATTACCTAGTAGGTACCTACACTTAAACTAATTACTTAAATTCGCTAAACAACCATAGAAACAAAGCGGCTTAACATAATCTGCTATTCAAGATCCAATAAATTACACAAATACAATAGGAAAATCAGCCATATGCTAAACTAATTGCATTAAACCCTTCACTCGCAGTGGCCTACTCTAAGTTCCTGATCAGATTCGAGGGTTACCGCTTTAGAGGCTCTCAGATTGGCTCGCCACGATACCAGATGGCCGACTGCACCGCCGGCGCGGGCGATGTCACACACCACGGCTAGTGCGATGCATTGAACTGCTGGTCGAGTCATCTGGAATTAAAATTAACATTTTATTAATGACAACATTGACATGGGTTCTTTCATCTACACATTGCATTTTCAGGTCCAGTTCATTAAGTTATTTCTGATGAATCAATGAATTCTTTTATTTGTTTTGGTTTATATGTCAATTATGTAGTTCATAAATGATTAGGTCATTACAAACAAATTTAAAAAAGAAAGAACGAACCGAAGAGTTTGTAAATCCAATTCGAGTTCGTTGCCACCAATATCATATTTGAAATAAGGATATATGGAATGATTTCCTGCATAGAAAAGACAACTGGCCAACTACTGCGCATCCATTCTGTCAGCTCAGATTAAATGAATACGTATCACGGCGGCCGTTCCAACGGTCCTCTCGCATTATATGTCACTGGGTTGTTCCAACCGTCCGAAGTCTGTGCGTCTCAAACCTAACGGGAGCGAGGTGTTACCAACAGTTTAATGGGTGAACATCATATGCATTTCACGATGAAAAACCAACTATTGTGTTTTGTGAAATATTAAGATCTGATATGACAGTATCAGCACAGCAGTAAATGCATTTTTGAGACGAAGGCACGTAGAAGTTTAAGAGACAAGAGTTTAGCAACTAAATAAACATTGGTTCCGTATAATTAGTCTGTAAATAGTAAGGCGAAGTATAATAAATAGATCATACGATGTCAGGACATTGGTACTACATGGGTAGGTACTGGGATCTGCGGTTTCTTATGGTTCTCGTTGCTATAATTTCGGGCTCAATATTAATTCGCACAGTTGAGCATCACAACCGAATGTACAAAAACAAACAGTCACAAACGACCAGCGTTTTACTCCAATTGAATAGCCCAAGTAGGAAGTCACGACTTCCCTAGTGAACGCACGCGACTCCTTCATGTCGATATTAATAGTTCTGTCCGTTTGGCTGCCCCCTCGTCCAGACTACACCATGATTGCATCCCGTAATTACAAGATATTGAGAATCGATATTAGTCTACGCACAAATCAAATTGTTTGTGAAAGTGCTCGAACGCTTGAGCTCCTTAATAAACATACTTCGAATGAATAGTTTGCGCTGTAAACAGATTCATTTCAGATAAAGGTGCAGACTTCGTTAATTTGTAGCATAAAATGTAGAGGGCGTTTCTCGACCACAGACTTACAATGACCCGGGTGGAATGTTTCATTGATTTGTGATGTAGGTATGACAGGAAGGAATGATTTGTAACCCAAGCGTTGGAGTGTGGACGGCGGGGAACCTGGTAAGTAATAATGTAGCTTTTACCAAATTATACTTATTCAGGTACTTTCTAAATTTACTTAGAAACGCCGCATATGATAAAGGAAGTCAAAAGGAAGCCTTGTTTTTTAAGACTTTTATAAGAGCTTAAGGGTTTAATGGATGGCTTTGCCACCGAGGTCTCCTGACGCTTTAGACCGTCGCGGAATTCTGACTTTAGCTTATGTAAAGGGCATGTCTATATCAAAAACTTAGATGTCGGTGGCGGATGGACGTAAAGCGTTGAGCTAAGCAGAAGTTTTAAGCGAAGAGCTACAGAACGCGAGCGGGGCTGTCAACCGTTTCTGACGTGTCTGTGAAATGTAGAAATGAAATAAAATACAATAGCTCTTTCAAAATAGTGTACACGAAGGGCCAACATGATGTTTAGAAATAATTAAGCAGAACTTTTTGTTATGCTAGCTAAAATTAGGGGTTTGAACCTGTAGTCTACAGAGAACATTCTAAATCACAATATTACGCAATAATGGCATAAAGTACAAGATTTTACAATGAAGAATGTATATCTAGTAATAAATACTTTGTAAAGCACACCGCTAACCATCTCTTAGGTACAGCGCCACATTTTGCTCAAGTAGATTCAGACAATAATTACATTAAATAATAGTCCAATATTAAATTGTGAAGGAAATATAAATTAAAATATTTAGAGAAGTGAGAAGGTCATAAAATTTCTCTCGATTAGCGGCAGCAGTACCTACAGTAGGTAGCGATTATAATAATTTCCCTAATTAACTTACCGTAATAATATCCAGCAACTTGTAAATGCCGTCGGTGGCTACGAAATGAGTTCTGTACTCAGGCGTCCATATGATTGCTTCCCAAATGAAATTGAATAGCGATACTAACCACCTGAGAAAAATATTATTAAGGAATTTAGCACGTATTCCGTTATAAATAGGGACGAGGTTCTCCTATATTATTTGAATGTGAACGTAACAAACTCTATTCACACTTTTGCGTTGAAAATGTCGCCCAATGAAACTTTTATTTAATATGTTTTAACATTACATTGTCATACGTTAGTTTAAGTTATAATTTAGTACTTAATTACTGCATTATACGCAGTATCACTAGTTCCGCGTCCTATTCAAAAAGAAATAATGTTTTTCATACGGTCCGTGTCCGTTTACATCTGAGAGATAAACTATAAAACATCATGCTACGACCAAACGGAATCCAGTACCGTGTGAAACTGAAACCGAACGGGATAAGCTGGTGGTTTTCACGCTACCCCAACCTTGTACACAACCAAATACACTGGTAGGTAACACTAAGGGCTTATATATGGTATAGGGCAGCAAATGAGCAGACGGATCACCTGATTGTAAGCAATCGGCGTCAAGGAGAGCCAACGGAGTTTCCAGTGCGTTGCTAGCCTTGTGAGAGTTAGAAATTCGAAGATTGGATATAGAAGACTAGAGATGGGGAGGAGGGGAAGTTTTTGGCCCTTTAGGAACCACATCTCAAGCATTGTTTCATAACCTGGTATCACTCCGGTCGAGCCGGGCCTCGGTTCTCTCACAGTTTACACGTTAAGCTTAAGTAGTTACAGCTTTTTTTAACCATTAAATACCAAGTCTTTCTTCTTACCTATCACTTATAATGAAATTTTGATCCAGTGAATATAAGACGACGTCGACCATCTTCCTCGCAAGGAAATTGACACAAACGGGCCATTTAATGTCAGGGTAGACGCAGCAGGACAGCTTCTGCTTCACGTGTACGGAGCTGGTCAGCAGCTGCAGCGACAGGGCGAGGACCGCCTGGCTTTTCTCCACTATCGGTAACTTCTGTTCCATGAGGGTGTGGCAGAGATCTACATAGAAGAATATCACTGTCGAAAACTTCTTGGGTATGCTAGGTATTGTGTCCTACACCATCCTCAAGTGTCGTGTCTACAGCGTGACAGAAAGAGATAGATGTAACTTTAAAACAAAAATAGTTCTCACAGAATTGTACTGTTTGGGACCAAGGGGAGTCGCCAAACTACGCCAGTTAAGAAGCAAGAAATCAAAATTAGAGCTCATCTATTGAAGCAACATCAACCACTATAAAGGAAAACTCGCAAAACACCGAAATAATATACTATTTTCATTTAATTAAAGTAGTAATTGCATTATCTAACGGATTAGTATAACAATCCCATGTGTGTCGAAGAGGTCTCGGATGGCTCGATCTCGCTCAGGTTTCCGAGTGAGATGTATTGCGGCCTGCAGCAGCCTGACACACCAGTACAGAATAGATATCTCATACGGATTCTCCGAGTACCATTCGATGTACCACATTATTCTGAAACGAGGAATCTGAATTAGAATGGAAAGAAGCATTCAGGTACTTAAGATAGACTCGACGAAAAACATAAACTACTAACTTCAGCACAGTGTGAGCTAAGTATCTATCTTGTACTGTCGTTCAAGTTTTCAGTATTTATCATTTTACTTATTTTGTTATCGCACGCAAAATCTATCTAATGTATTCAAGTGTTACTTTTAAAGAGGACGAATAACTACTGACTAAAAACTGAGCGCTGGGTTATATCATATCATTACAGATTTTTTAACTTCCTTCCTCTTTTCTTCATCATGCTATCTCCAATCAAAATGCAAGTGAAAAATACCATCTCTCATAAAGAACACACCTCCTTATAAGCCCATATTCCTTCACGCATTTAGGATCAGTCAAGGGTATCGTGCAGACTAGGGCTTGGAGAGCAGTTTTTCGTAGTTCAGCGAAAAGAGGAGGCGACCAGTGCGCGCGCAGCGAGCTGAGCCCAGGGTCTACAAGACTCATGATGCCGACAAACCAGTAGCGAGATTGTAACATCTGAAATGTAGATGTATCTTTAGGGAACCGGGTGTAATACTCCTTTGTTCGAATTAGGTATATAATATAATGTTTATGTCCTCAGTAATTTTATTTATACCTTTTAATAATTCATATTGCGTAGTATTTATATTGTTATTGAACCCGACTTTACCACAAAAATAAACGAGTTTTGTATTTATTAACTTTTACTTGGTAGCTAGTCAGATACTATGATTATAGTTGTTGTCTTGTTTTACTACTTTTCAGTTCAACTACCGCGTACCTGTACCGCGTAAACACTTGGTCTTAAGTTCTACCCAAAGGTTAAGTTAACAGATAGACTGGAATATATATTTCTAGGTAGCTCTTGTCATCTAGTAACAATTACTAAGAACTCATACTACTTACGATCCATAAATAAATAATTCTAGTAACGGCTGTGAACTTAAACCTATGGATGTGATAATTGTACCTATACATTTAGGTAGGTACTAGATATATGCAAACTAAAGCAAGCAATTAAACAATAAAGACAAAATTTTTCAAAATCCAAGAATTATACAAGTCTAACTTAAAAAAAAAATAAGATAAGCTACATTGAGATACTTACGAATTTATTATAAGGGAATGTTTTTAATAAATCAACAACAAAGTTGATGAGTAACTTCTTAAATTGAACATCTTGCTGAGCTGTCGTGAAGTGGACGGTAGCAGTCCAATCGTCCCTCGGAGGCAGCTCCGTGAGAACAGAGAGGGACACGATATCTGTGGATGGTGACAGAGCAGTGGATATTATTATGTATACTTTATTGAAGTAGAAAGAAAGAAAATGCATTTATCCGGCATCAGACATGAAAGCCAGAACAAAACAAAAATACGATACAAAAAAAACAATAAAAAGGTTAAAAAGACAGAAAAACAAAAATACGCTAAATATACATACAATTCTACAGGGTTGGCAGGCATGCCTAATCCGAATGGGTCGCCAACTTAGCAAAACTGGGCAAAGAGCACCCAACACTGATTTTCAGTTGGCACCCCTGCAGTGACGCACGGACGAATGCAACACATAAGTGTGGCAGATGCTTAAGGCCATGCTTGGCACGAATGGGTCGGCTCGATCGGAGTGATAATGCCGTCTCACAAGAAATGGGAGATTCACCGTGTGAGCGAACCCCAATGGAGGTTTGGAGGATTTGATGGATGAAGGTGGGGTGGCGTAACGGATGATTGGCTCTCCGCTAAACTCATTCTGCCCGCGTAAGTATAGGTACAGTACAACTGTTTTTAAAAACACACAAATTGTGAATGTTTGACGTTTCTAAATATGTTTAGGTTCCATTCACACAAGTTGCAAGTGATCCTTTTAGCGGGTAAAAACTAGAACTGTGTTACTTAGACTCCACTGTTTGTCACCAAGCTTTATCTTTTGAACCGCGACGTTAAACTAGACAGTTGAAATTTGGTCTGATTCTGATTCCTGGCCCGACATATGTATAAACAGTAAAACATAGCTCAAATATTAATATTTAGACTTGTTCATAATTTTACATTTATTACACGTCTGCAGGCCCAAAAAAGGAAAATTATTTTATATGGGTCTTTATATATTTAGGTAGGTACCTATATAAAATATTCTTCGTGACTTCAGGAGGGACCAATATATAACGTGATTTTATTACCTTTTGGGACATTACAGACATGATTGTGATTATTGCAAACAGCGTTTAGTAACACACCAATGTAATAGTGTTCTGGATGAATCAAATTCGTCAGTTGCGACGGGACACGGTTCAACGACGCGCGACGTCCATTCTTAAAGCAATGCAATTACATCCGTCGGAAGTGAAAGTGTTCAAATTATGGCAGCTGCGGACCATTCATGGAGCCGTTTTCATATTCAATAACACCATTGATACAATATTGTACCTACCTATTGTTATTTTATTATATTGTGCTGCTTGCAAGGCGGTTTTATTGATTTTCCTTTTTTATTCAGAGCCAAACAATTCTTAGATTATACTATCTTACGCGCAATAAGTACTAGTTACAATCACCAGTTCACAATATTTTGCCAAAAACTCACTTTGGAAATAAACTAACGCTAGCTTACTAACCTTTAGATATTAACTTTTTGAACATGCTAGAGAAATTGCTTAAACACTTGAAAATGGGTTACTTCGGAAAAAAAGCTGCTGCATAATTGCACCTATGTTTGTCCTCATGATAGTTATTAAAATATGGATATAGTTGAAGAGCAAACGTTATTTTGCTGATACGAAAATGATGATAATAATGAATAATTTATCAAGTAGAGTTTTATTTTAAATTGAAACGGTTCCCTACAACAGGATTTTCTCCTGTGTCGTGGGTGCGTTTATAAACATACAATTTCACATACACACCATACCCAGACCCTGAACCACAATTCACTAAGTTCTATCAGGTGTGACTGACCTGCCATGAGCACAGAAGAGAAGAGAAATAAACGCTCGCCGAAGCACTTGATTAGAGCTGCTGCGATCACGGTTAGAGTAATTCTTTCATGTCGATGCTCCCGAGCGCGACATTCGTACCGGTAGGCCCAGATGAAGCATCTGTGGATGTAGTTAAAACAACATCAAGTTACATAGTATACAGTTTAGTGTGGGAGAGCCAAGCTTCGGCAACAATGGGTCGGCTCTACCGGAGTGATACCACGGCCTCACAGAAGAAAAACCGGCGTGAAACAACCGCAGCGTTGTGTTTCGGCGTGTGTGTGAGATTACCGGAGGCCCAATCACCGCCTCCCCCAATCCTTAAATAACTGAAACCCTTATCCCTAAAAAGCCGGCAACGCACTCGTAACTCCTTTGGTGTTGCGGGTGGCGGGCAGCGCTGTTTGCTTACCATCATATACATCATGATCGTTTGCCGATCTAAGTATTCAATTAAAAAAAGGTAAAAGAGAGCCCGACGCTATGGACTAGATTTCATTCAGGCGATACGTTTTTCTATTCCTTAATTCGCCTATTGTTTGAGAACCATAAAATGGATTATAATAGTATTTGCTCATTCCAAAGTACAGACTCCTATGTGGAAGAATTAACAACAGCAATAGAAGTAAAAAAGTAAAAGAGTCAAAAAATAAAACAAAACTTTTCTCAAACCAAACTTGAAAAATAATTTAAACTCCCGTTTGCGCCACAAACAAACAAGAAACCATTCAATACTGAATAGTAAGTACGGTACAATAAATGACGAGTACAAAGGTACCAGAATAATAATTAAATGGCATGTAATTATATCGGTAGTGAGGAAGCATGCGGTGCCCTGCCAATCCTTCCAACATTAACCTTTTAGCCGCCTTTCTCGAGCCAGTGGGAGGAGTGCGTGGCCTATTGACTCAGATACTAGGGGACATCGAATGAAAAAATGGAACCCCGAGTGTTCCCGCGTCATTTGACCTGAGAAATAAGTGCCGGCAGAACAGGTAATGGCTTCCAACCATTATCTATACTAACCTAACCTAACCGTTACCTGTATTGCCTAAGTACCTGTCTGGACTTAGACGGGAACCTTGGGAAAATGATGCAGGTACTGTAACCATCGAGGTTTTCAAAAAATTAACATCAAACGTTGCACCTCTTGCTCGATCAACGAGGCAATTTGTAATCAGCTGACATTAAGAACTAAGTATAAGTAACTGGTTACGTCCTCAAAATCACGGGGATAATAACGTCCGACGACAGTTGGAAAACTTTAGTAAAACTAGCGCTTACTAATGTTCATTGGTCATTAAATGTAGTCGTCGGTTACTGAGATTGTGTCTGGTTGTAGAATTAATTTAAATAAACTCCAGCTACTAAGTCCCAAGCGTATGCCGCGTAACGCTCCGAGCGCGCCAGTTAGAGCCAATAAACTGGACCCTATAGGGCTGATTATTCAATTGATATTGCGTTCTCGGCCAAAGCCAAAAGTAAGGGAAAAAAGGGGTGGTTTTTAGTCAGTAAGAGTCAAGCTCTCTTTCGCCTCGGCCTGGGCGGGAAAAGTCATGAGAAAATTTTCCCGCTCACAAAAAAGTTACTTAGATAAGTAACTAATAACAAACATACAAACCTTTGAGCACAGCAATCCGGGCACGGCAGCAGCGCTCCAAGCTTGGGATTTTTGTCCAAATAATCTTTAGTAGTTTTCAGAAGGACAAGTAGAATTGTCATAGTTGTGGTAATGTTGACGGTGCTCTCGCCTGTGGGCACGTAATGTTACAGCAATTACACTCAACTTTAAGTAAATACCGCGACAACTACTTATTTGTTCCAGTAGCCAATGCTGTACCCTGACCGACTTCCACCACGGTGGTCAGTCTTCAAATAGAACAGTCAAGTCAATATGACTTTCTATATAACTATTTAAGCGCATTTTGTGTTCCATGTGTCTCATGATGGGGATTTTTTGGGAATAGTGACCTAGTGACTATTCCCAAAAAAGTGGCCAAATTGACACAACTGCAGTTTATCATAAATTATAATATTATTATATTTCCATTTTAAAATAAATCCTTTCTTACATTTGTTTAATCATGTACACTTACCTAACTTCACGTTAGGATCGTGACAATCCAAAGGGCTAATGTCGTAACTTTCCAGTTTTCGTTCAGGGAAATAAGGATTGAACCGATAGAACAAGTTCTCTAAGATATTTTCCTTCATCATTTCTATACCTGAAAATTGCAACACATACAAAACTCTCTTCTTCTCTTCTCTTCTTCTTCTTGAATTCTGGAACATGAGTCATTCAAATGGTATATGACTCATACTCATAACTGTTAAAATTGTTCTCATTTTCACTTCAAAATATTTCTGTATTAAGACATAATGAGGAAATTACAAAATACACAAAATACGGTTTTGTCTGTAATAAGTATTTCATCTAGAAACAGTATAATGAAATGTAACGTTAAAATCATCAGCACCACCGTCTGTGCTATACGTGCCCCTTGCTAAGCAAGAAAAACATTGAAATATACGTATTATGTATATTTGCGATCCCTTTCCAATCTTCAACCCAGTTTCAGGCGGCAGACGTGGCAGTTAATAGAAAGTTAACAATGCGGAGGTGATCATAAGCAGGACGGCTCAATATTTATCATTGGCTAAGCAGCCATTGTCAGGCAGTGACCTGACAACGGACAATAATTCACTATAAAATATTATCTAGGCTAGGGAGAGAAAATTGTGTTTTATGACGATGAGATGACAATAATAGTTATAGTAGCCATCGTCCACGTTTAGGCTCGTGTTTACGTCCCGACCGTCTGAAGATACTTCACCACAGTAGCCAGTTAACGGCAATATGATGGTTATAATATTAATTTAACTTGAGTTAGGACCACAATGTCGTAGGTCCAGGGACATTATTCACAGCAAGTTGCTTGCCACGTCTAACCTCATACGAGAAACTTAAAACAAGTTAGGAGTAATGTCAGCATCGTCCTTACAACTACATATTATAAGCGTTAACAATACCAAAAGCAAAGCCAAGCACAACAAAAAAAAAATCAGTGTAGGTTGCCTACAATTTTACTAAACTTGTGTTAAACGTACAATTCTCCGCCGTGTCGAAGGCAAGAAGGAGTGCGATCTCCAAAAATATGGCGAATCTACGCGGTTCGGCGATTGCAATCATTCTGACGGTGCTCTGAAGAAGCACGGGAGCTGCTGCAGCCATCGAGTGCCGCAGTTGAACCGTTGCCTGTCCTCTGATCGTGTCTGGAGCCGACAGATGCCAGAGCAAGGCAGCAGCTACCACATCCAAGAGGTCGCCATCTTGTAGCTCTATTAAAAGGTAACCTACAACACAACACAATGCTAAGTTGTATTTACAAATTGTATTAATTTTTTTCATTGTCTCGTTTCACAACAAGTTTGCTTCGTTTTGAGGACAATAACGATTATTGTATGGTTCAACTACTTATTTTAAACAATGTGACGAGAAAAATGGTAAAACAAACAAACACCTAGAAAAAAGTCAGAGATAAATGACAGTAAATTATTAGTTTTTGTATCTACAACAAAATCCTACTCAATTGTAAGTGTGACTTAGTAGGGCAGTCCAATGTTGCATCAGCTACCCTTCTTAATGGTCATATAATCTACCTACATATATTATGAATAATTGCCGAGTTCTATAATAGTCCAAGAATTAAAAGTATTATATACCGATTCTTAGATTGTTTGTACACATACTCGTAGCAAACCAAACCACGAGTGCTCTTTGAGAAATCGCTCGACCAAATTTAATGACACCCTGGCTAATTGTAATATCATTACGTTTGGCCATTAATGTTCCAACTTCCAACACTTTATTAAATACCAAGTGTCCATGATGCTGAATACACTAGTCTTGGTGTGGTCGTGGCTGTGGTATCGTGTTGCAGACAAATGAGGCTAAACCTAACCTGCCTTTGTACCATAGAGAAAGGGTCTCTCACCATGAAATGGCCCATGGTGTTATGTTACTTACTGTTGCCTGCACTAAAGGCGACACATTTTATGTGATGACGAGTTAATAAAGTGTTATAATATGAAGCCTAAACGCACTTTCTGTGAAGCAGGTGCAGCTACATTGAATTTTGTTGTCAATAACGAATCTCAATTTAAAATCTTCTTACTGAGACCAATCTTAATCTGTTATTAATTTATTGAATTTCTAGGTGGGAGAACCATGCTTCAGCACATACGGGTCGGCTCGACTGGAATGATACGTAGGTATCAAGTACAGCCTCACAGAAAACTAGCGTGAAGGAAGCACAACGGTCGTTTACGGGAAGCCCAATCTTTCCCCTCCCCGTTCCTAAATCACAGAAACACTAACTCTGAAAAGGCTGGCAACGCCCTCGTAACTCCTCAGTTGTCGCGGGTGTCCATGTGCGGCGCCGATTGCTTACCGTTAGGTAATAGGTCTACTTGTTTGATAAAACCCTAATATTTTTTCTACTATCTCCATGTTATGCAAGTTTTGTTAACTATAAAAGCCCCATTTGTGTCAAATATGATTTCAATTTGATAAACGGTTATACCTAACTACCTAACTGATCAACTCGACAGATGCTGATGTTAATAATGGCAACAAACAATCCATTCACAATATGCCATTCTACGGACGAGTTCAATGCATCCATCAAAGAAAAGTTGATCATTCAAGTTGCATTTCCTCCAGTGAGTACTTCCTTTACGTTTCTGATGGCACTTTGTTCTCAATGTTTATTGTCATCGAGAGAGAAAACCGGTGCAATCTCTTGCATTAATGGTATAGTGAAGTTATCTGTGGTTTTTGTTGGATAATGCTCTGCCAGTTTACAGAATAATGTAACTTTTAATCTAAAGTATCTCTATGAGCATCTCTACCATCATTTCTGGTCAGACGGTTTTTAAAGGACCGCCCAAAAAGTTGTTTAAATGAGGAGATTCTCGATTCGGGTGTTACGTTTCGTTGTTGCTTTTTTTGTTTTTTTCTTATCTTGTAAACGACGAAATTGTATTCTCTGTGGCTATTTAACAAAACAATAGAAGAAAATCTTACTTAAAAAGCACCAAATTAAAAATAGATAAAATGTCGACGTCAAGCCTATTAAACCCATAGAATATTATAACAACGATACTATAAATAATTAAAATTCAATGAATAATTTCGTTTAGGACTTAGGGCACTGATTTCTTATGGTACGGAGACACCACGTGCGAGAGGTTACTTCTATGTGCTTTGGTACGTAAGGACTAAGGACCTAGCTACAATTTATTAATTTACTTTTTTGCTTTTGATATCGGCTTTTCATCAGCTACTGTAATAGTCCTTGCAAAGCAGCCAATCAAATATGAAATAGTAAACAGTGCTAAGAACTACCCAATGAAATAAGCATATTTGCATAAGCATTTTACTAAGTTCATGTATCAACGCCGAATTGGTCAGCTGACCCACTAAATACATTCTAAGACAGTGGAGCCGCGAGGCATTGGAATGAGGAGCACGCCTGCATGCTCCATAAATCATAACACCTCAAAAGGAGTAAAATCCCTCGAGTGACAACGACATTGTCCTCTTTTAGATGCCATTAAATGGCGTGGCGATACTGACTTGGCCTCAATATGCCAGACACGAAACTCTACGTAATAACAGTTCCATTTCAATAAATTCTCATGATATTGTGCAGTTGCTTTCATTCAATAAAGTAGTATCTATATACAATATACCTTTTTACTTGAGCGGTGTGTTTGTGTACCACATTATTCTGACAAGACTGCTCGTCATGAGAGCTACAATCTGATCAGGATGAGACTTTTAAAGATATAGATAACATGGGAAATGCCTCATCTTCAGTTTGCTAACCAATCCAGACTTTATTCAGATTCAGAAATAACATTAATGTGAATCGATTTAAAATGGCGTCTTGTGGTTGTGGTTAAAAACTATGTAGAATAAATATTTCCGATATTTTTTCAATTAATAACAATGAATCTTAGAAGCTAGAATGTTAGAGCTCTTGGAAACAAGACCCGCATAGACCACCGAGCTGATAGCCGAAGGGGAGATGCAACTGAAGACACATAATTGACTCTGGGAAAAGTGTACCGTATTATTTAATGCCTGAGGGGTTTACAATGTAGAATATTGAGGTGGACAGTGAATTAAAAGAATAAATATACAATCGTTAGCATCATTGACAGGACTTGACAGGCTCCTGATGCAACGTTTGGTAGGCGGCTAAAAATCGCAATTTTAACGTGTACCGTTACCGGTTTTACCATGATGCACTGATGCCCTGGAATCTCGGATGCAGACTTCTTGAACACTCCTTGGAAGAGTGAGCACATACAATGGTAAGAAGAAATATACAAACTTACCCATAAACCCAATGAACTGCTTGATCTTGTCGAAATACGTGACCACATCCGACGCCTTCATCAACAGAATGGGTCCATTAAAGTTCTTCAATAATGACACCAGCTCAGGTTTCAGGCAAGGAAACTGGACTACAGCCTCTAATAAGTACTTTAAGATTGAGCAGAGGTTGCCTAGAGTGTCAACGCGCTGGTAACTCTATTAAGAAAAATATTGTTGGATAGTTCGCCATATAAAAACGTTAAGGACTTTTACCAAAAAGTGATTGTTTTATGATGTTATATTATGGATCCAATATGATAAATCTATAGTTCTATGATTATTACTATTTTTAGTAGCAACGGGCCCAGAATTAGTTACTCTATAGCACATTACCATACACAACTTATTTACTAGGGCCTCGATTATGATATGTATTACTGCACATAGAACATCCTTCCTGACTGGCAAACGACTGTTATCTGAAGATAAAGTATGTATAGCTTCATTTTGCTACCGGAACATAACAAAATGGTTGCAGAGATCTTTTAGGAGATTAAAATATAATGAGGCAGTTTTGGAAACTTTTGACAAAAGGATACGTATCCAGTGCTACTGATGCTGGCGAACTCACTGAGGAGTTCTTGCAGGCGACCTATCTGTTGCTCCACGGTGGGATAGCTGACCAAATCCTCCAGTTTCTGTGCCACAGCCCACTTGAGTGATGAAATGCAATCAGCAGACCATTTCGGATCTGAAATAAATGAAAAGGAACATTATTGTGATCTTTGCACGGTAGTAATACTTGTTTAAACGTTGTTAACTAGCTGGATTAGACATTCAACCAACGGCCTGAATGACTAGCTGGCTCCTTATTCCGGCTGTTAGTTAAAGGGTGAAGAGGTTGTCGTGAAAACCGAGTGGCTGTCAGAATGATAGACTACGCTATCTTAGAACTGCAACGCGCACCAAAAACTAATCGCACAAACAAAGAGCCACCAATATTGTATAGCGATATTATTTATTATGCAGCGAGGTGGAAACTATTTTTTTTTCTTCTCTTCAAATATTATTCTCTGATGTTTTTCGTTGTGGGATCCAAGACAGTCAGTCAAGGTTTTGGGAGGTACTGGCGGGCTTGGGCTAATAAAGCGAGCCAGCTGGTCCTACTCAACAGGATCATATTCATGAAAATGATTAATGTTTAGATATATTTCAATCATGAAACCATGCTGTTAAATTATTGTTAAACTTGTTATAATTAAAAGCCAAATAAAAACTTTAAAGTACTCATCTTGTATTATAATCTGCATGATACTTATCCATAAACCCTTTTAAATCACATAAACTAGTGCTTGACTGCAATCCTACTTGATGGGTAAGCAGGTGATGCAATCGTTGATGGTAAGGCGCACTAGTTTATTAAGACCCTACTTACTCTAGCCTTGAAGACATCTAAATCATAACTTGAACTGCACGGGAAGAAAGATCGTTTCAGGCGAGCTGTGCTTGGTATAAACGACGAAGCGAAACGTTTAGACCGGATGGTAGAGGTAACAATAAAAAAGGATGGATACACGCCGTGCATCGGGTTGTCCGATAGTAGAAATGTGATGGGGTGATACCGGCGGATAAGGCGGCACGACAATTTGGTACATCATCATTACCAGCCTGATTTCTTCCACTGCTGGACATTAGCCTGCCCAATTGCACGCCACTGAGGTCGGTTAGTGTTTGTAAACACTTGTACCACACACACTAATAAAACCAGTATTGAAAATAGATAAGCTCCAAAACTAAATCAAACTGACATCTTGAAGAAGCGAAAGCGAAAATGATTAACGCTTTCTTTTACGAAACCAATACATGAAAATGAAATCAATAGATGCACCGGAATTGTTATCAGGTCACTCACAGTTTTACTGGCGGTACGCATGCAACCGTAATTCTGACTTGTTTTAAGAAGCGATTTAATTGTTATGTCCTCAACTGGAGTAGAAATCATGAATAATTACAACTGGGGGTCAGTACTCGATTGTTAATGGTTATACTTATAAACAACGCAATTGATTGTGAACGAATAAACGATAATTTAAAACTATGAAACCGGCTGCCTCCAATTCAATATGTTTAAATACTAGCACCAAGTTTGGATGTTGAATGCGGAGCCCTTGTTAGGACTAAAGCAAAAATAAAAACACCAAAAAAATTACCGAATACCTAATTTCCATTTATAATTTCATATTTATGTCACTTACATACAGTAAGTAATTCTAAACTGCTGTAACTGTTTAAGTAAATATTTTCAATATCTGTTCATGTATATATCTTGTACACATGTATTTATCTTGTATTACATTCAATTCGAGATCAGTGAATAGTACCTACCTACTCTGATCGGAGGAGAAAATAAGTATGCATGCCTGACCTTCGAAATTAGCGGCGAAGAGTCTTGTTTTTACTCCTATCAAAATGCCTTATAAAACCTAATCTACATTTGAAACGAATTTACTAAAACAACAAGAAACACAATCGACATTCACTGTAACTATTCTTGTCATATTCAAAGTTACCAAAAATCAAAACCATTTATAGTTTCCGGAGACACGTTTGGAAGTAATAAAGAAAGATTGAACAAAAATAGTCATCACAAAGCAGTGTTCTTCAAAGGACACTTGTAGTAGCGAGAGATCTTATAATAGTATATATGTATGAAGATAAAGAAAAGAATATACTTCGGTGACGTGAGTGATACGACACTGAGTACCACAATAACTGACAGTTGAATATGAGCAAATTAATCGTGAAGAATGCTTATTTATTATACAGTGAAGGCTACTTGTTAGTTGTTACATATTACATTGAAACTCAGCATCTTTCAACACGACATGGCGGTATCACGTCGCTTATACCGTGAAATGGTTACAAATTGCAATATCTAAGCGGACATTTTGGAAGAGGTTGGGTTACACCCAGCTTTAGGCATGGATGTCTTGGATGATAAAGGTAAAACGTAATACTTACAGGCAATTTTTACGTAATAAGGGCCGATCCTATTATTGATGTATTAAATTTCGCCTCGTTTGTTTAGTCACAATATGTATATCCGTCTGACGATTTTTAACTAATAATTAGAAGTCAAAATCATTTATTTTAATTAAACCACAAACAGGCAATTTTGAACGTCAAACAACGCTAAAAGAGAAAAAGTGTCGATCTATCGGTCAGTACTCTTAGCGAAGATATTTAAATAATTATAATTCCAGGTTTCCTCATGATGTTTTCCTTCAGCATATGTCAGTCTACACAATGTTAGAAAGTACATACTCGTATACCTTTGGAAAACTTCACATTGGTACTTACTAGATTTCGAACCAGCGCCCTCATGCACGGGCGCGTTAACCTCCGAACCACGACGACTGTCATAATATAAGTGGTTACTAAATTATGTATTACTAATGTCTATCTTTCAAGTCTTAGTCCTAGGACCTAGTTTGGCGTTACAAATGCGTGGCGTGGTGATGACCAGTTCCATTGTTTTCAGGTCATGTCACCATCGCAGTACGAGAAATCATAATGACAGTCCATTAAAAAGGAATAAGTGGGTGAAGGAAAGTGCACATAAATGTAATAAAAGGACAAACGTTCTATTTTTTGAAGTGCACTTTCATAAATACTGTGTCGTGTGGCTATTTGTGGGCATCGAAACCAATTGTTACAAGTACATGATAGTCAGATAGTAATGGTGGTGTTATTTATTTAATGTTTTTTCTATACATAGAAAATATCCAAAACTACCCATTCTCACGATACTTTAGTTATTTGTAAGTATAACTATCAATAACTTGAATATTTCTGATCCAATTTTCTGTTTGTTCAGAAAGAAAAAGATTCAAGTTGACATCGTTGCTTCCAAGTCAGGGTCTGACGAAGAGATCCAAGAGTGTAAAGCGCGCATAACCCTCAAATTATAATACGTAAGTTTGAAAAACATTAATTATAATTTGACAAACTTGTGCAACTATTACCGTCTGATGATTTGATGTAAGTACATGAGCTGATGATGGAAGTTGTAACATTAATGAAGAATTACTTAGAGACTGTGTATATATGTGGTTTTTACGTTTACGTTTTAGAGTATAACTTAACTTTACATTCATAATTAATATATAAGGTACCTAGGTTTTTCATATTCATTATGCATGAGATGTTGATATTATTATTACGTTACAAACATAAGATCTCATGTCAAAAACGTTACGTTCGTTTAGATACATAAACTGTTATAATAATAAATAATTTATATCTACGTTGGGTACATACCCGTAGGAATAGGATCCAAGTTCTTCACAATATTTCTCTTCAGTAATCCTTTCGCTGAGTACTCCTTGCCTTGCGGGCCGTGGATACACCCGAAGGTGTCTGAGGACCCAGACAGCGACTCAGAAGAGCTGAGGAACTCCTGTCTGGTTGTTTGTTCGAACTCCTTCTTCTCCCTGGTTTTCTTATAATACTTCGTATGAGAAGATTCTTTTGAATCATTGGCCAATTCTCTTAAAATTTTGCTTCTACGAGAAGGAAATTTAGGAGACGAATGCTGTAATCTGTCTGACGATGCACCCATCGGCATAGATTCAGTTATCTTGTCGCTTGATACACTCTGCTCAGTCGGGTTAGGAGCCAGGCGAGAACGAGAACCTCCTGTTTTCGACATTTCTCCAAAATATCAGTTTGCAACCTTAAATATGCACTTTATGAAAATAAATTGATAGGCATTAAATACAAAACGTTACATTGGCCGATGACGTTTTATTTTTATTTTAAAAGATACTATGTACCTCCTTTTTCATACTAAGTATAAATTAATAAAAAGGTTTGAACCATTCTGTTAAAATTTACAATTAATTATAAAGAACATTAATTTAGTACATTTCAGAGTGATTAGTGGCATCTTGTTGTCTAGGTGGGCAGCAGAAGGCGAGGTAAATCGGTCAGGTCCCCTGCGCCGGCGCAGCTTAGCGGGCGCTGAATTTAGCGTGCGTTCGTGCAGCGGAATGTTGTTGAATTTAAAGATTTTAATTATGCAGATATTTAGTGTATGACGTCGTATAATTGTGTATGGTAAAAAAAAATTTGTGCACGCAACCATTGTGGAGAAATTCACCAAAAACTGATTCCGCTGGGCGAACGTTGTCCTGGCGGAACTTTTTTTAATCCATAGACTTTAGAAGAAAAGAGATGTATCCAAAAATTAGTGTGTATTTGTGTGTAATTGTGTATGTATGAATAAAACTAGTGCATGCATAAACTTCGGAGAAATTCAAGTTTCCGCTACGCGAACGTTTGGCCATTAGCTAGTTTTCATATAAAGCGCTTACATAGAGAGCTGTAGATTTTTATATACGTTGTTTTGAATTTGTTTATATTTGTTTAAAAAACAGATTTAGAAAAAATCGTATGGTTTAAAAGATAAAAATATAAACGTAAAATACGCTTATTAGGTCGTAGTTCTTAAAGTATGCACTTTGGAGTCTAGATTTTCACGTTTATACAAACCTTGTAAGTGTCTGCAACATGTTGCCAAGTATCAATGATGTTCCGTTAGTAATTAAATAGTTATAGGACAAATTTACCACGAATAGATCACTGTTTACAAAGCAGTCAAATATCACGACTTTCTAAATGAATTGCATGGTAAAATGTATGCCAATAATTAGTGTATTCATTCAACTATTCACATGCAAAATTTCATGTCATTATATTCAGTAATTAAAGAAAAACAATTATGATACTGACGAAGCATCGAAAACCTACATAACCCGACCAAGTTCGGATGGCTACAAAAAAGCGGCCGTGCCATATATCTAAGAAACGTTCTTAACTTTCCAATATAGCATTTATTAATATGGTACAGTATCGTACACAAGCGTTAGGAAAAAATAAAACACAGTATCGTACACACGCTCATGCATGCCTAGTCTATTGGATAAATAGTGTAATAAAAATAATGGTTAAATAGTGTAATAAGCTACAATATGATAAATAATCACCTAAACAGTAGTAGGTACATACTTACATGTGGTAAATATTTAATTTTCCTAAGGGGTCTATAGTTAGAATCCTGATCGGTGAAATCTTCAATAGAAATTAGCTGTATGAATTTTATTTGTCTTAAATATAATTAGATTATATCTCAAGTCTCAAGCGCATACTTAAATAAAGTACCTACGTAAATAGTACCTACTTTCTGTCATAGTCAAATACATTTAAAAAAGTAGGTGTCCAAAAATAAATTACCTATAAATTATTTCGAAACAACAAGTGTGTGATCGCCTGTACCAATTCAATACCGGTATTATACTGTAAATTTTGGGATGTTACCTAAATATATTGCACAGCCGCTTTTTTGTAGCCATCCGAACTTGGTCGGGTTATGTAGGTTTTCGATGCTTCGTCAGTATTATAATTGTTTTTCTTTAATTACTAAATATAATGACATGAAATTTTGCATGTGAATAGTTGAATGAATACACTAATTATTGGCATACATTTTACCATGCAATTCATTTAGAAAGTCGTGATATTTGACTGTTTTGTAAACAGTGATCTATTCATGGTAAATTTGTCCTATAACTATTTAATTACTAACGGAACATCATTGATACTTGGCAACATGTTGCAGACACTTACAAGGTTTGTATAAACGTGAAAATCTAGACCCTAAAGTGCATACTTTAAGAACTACGACCTAATAAGCGTATTTTACGTTTATATTTTTATCTTTTAAACCCTACGATTTTTTCTAAATCTGTTTTTTAAACAAATATAAACAAATTCAAAACAACGTATATAAAAATCTACAGCTCTCTATGTAAGCGCTTTATATGAAAACTAGCTAATGGCCAAACGTTCGCGTAGCGGAAACTTGAATTTCTCCGAAGTTTATGCATGCACTAGTTTTATTCATACATACACAATTACACACAAATACACACTAATTTTTGGATACATCTCTTTTCTTCTAAAGTCTATGGATTAAAAAAAGTTCCGCCAGGACAACGTTCGCCCAGCGGAATCAGTTTTTGGTGAATTTCTCCACAATGGTTGCGTGCACAAATTTTTTTTACCATACACAATTATACGACGTCATACACTAAATATCTGCATAATTAAAATCTTTAAATTCAACATTCCGCTGCACGAACGCACGCCTGAATTTATCCGAATGGTGGGACCAACGGAAAGACGGACGGACACGCTCACTCAGTCGCACCTCCACGCCGGCGCAGGCGCACGTCGGTCGTGTCCCGCTCGCAGTCTCGCGCGTCGTACGTACTCGATACTTCATTAGTTTTCCCCTCGAGAAAACCAAGTGAAATAAAACTGTTTGCCCGCGGCAGTGGACGTAGTGAGTGGATTTGTCGCATGTGATTGTTGACACCTGCAGACACGGTGAGTGTTGCCTGTGCTTAGCATTTTCCGAAATGTTTGTTTTGTTGACATTGTTACGTAGCTGTGATAATGGAAATGCTGCGAGCGGCAAAGCCTGAGCCCGCGTTATTAGATATAAGTTAATCATGTTAGCACGATCGCTACTACACCGCGTAAGTCACGGACGCGCCGGCAATGATAGAAGTCCTATATTTTACATTTGTTTACTTCCCTATTTTTAACCACAAGTGGCGGTTTGGGTGGAGTAAAAAACTTGTATACGTTTGAAGTAGACATAAAAGCAACCGACTTTATAACGTGAATCTATGAAACACATTATCCGCCAACAGCGAAGTTTATTATGTGTTATTGACAGAGACGAGTGACGCAACTGTGTCTACCTACAGCTCACAGCTACCCAAACCACATTACCAAATGGGAGACAGTCATAACAAATTTCCTTAATATGTTAATATTGACTTTGAAATAAATACAGCTCTGCACACACCGCGCATTACATGTATGTATAGGTCGTCCAATTATGTGCCTGGTTAATATGGAGTAGGTTGTTATTTAGTTTGTCATGTGGTAAACGGCCAGCCGGCGTGTGCAACCGCAGTGGCTACTGGCTCTTATGACATAGGTATCATAGCACTGTGATTATGTCGTTACGTAAATCCAAACACATACATAAATATATAAATACAAATTATAACGACACCTCATCGAACTAACCGGTGGACTTCGTTGATATTTACATACTTACCCATTTACGTTTTGTTGCAAACATTAAAATAAAAGTATATTTTTTCATATCGAGGTTAGACATTCGAATTAATAATTAATTTAAAAAGTTATGTAGATTATATACAGACGGAAAAGACGTAGTAGATCGCCTTCGAAATATCTTTAAATAATTCAAAATTTATTCTCACTTTTTAATTTTGCATGGAGTCAGAAGGTGCAGGTAGTGCAGGTAGTGCAGCATGCAGGCACGAAGTCAGTGTGACCTTAACATGTTATTGTGACAAACTACCACTGTCATTATTATACTTTATCAGTACTGATAGCATCTAAGTACGTAATGTAGTTGATGACTTAGTTGGAAGCTGTGGCTGGCTTCCAAAATTTGCATTCCTTTTGTATTTCTTATTTAGACTCATACTAGGCTTAGTCTTTAGGGTCCGGCCTAGGTCAGGAGAAGGGACGTGGTTGTTTTAGTCTGAACCTAAGGCTCTAAGACTTCCTCTCAAGGAAGAAGCCATTGGATGATGTTCACCGTTAAAAAACAGGCTTTACCATATCATCATCGATAATTATTAACACTGATGAGTAGATCAGACTTTGATAATGTTGACATACTGACACTACATCATCAAATGGTCACCAAAATAAATAAAACTGTCAGCCGTTAATTGCATTCGGGTCTAGGACATTACCTAAATGAGAACTTCCTGAATGAACAATTTGTTCATTATACTCAGTTCAAAGGATAGATTTTTTGGCGACTAGGTATTTCGTTTTGTAAAAAAGTGTACTTAAAAGCTAAAATAAATTGATTGATTTGTTGATTAGAATAGATCAACTGTCAAAACAATAATGTGGATACCTATTCGAGTAGGTATTCAATAGAAGTAAAAAATGTAAAAAAAAGCGTAAAGCACTTAACTTTTTTATCTTTACTTTGTAAGTAGGTATATTATAAATATGGATTAAGGATTAAAGTTCCTTACGTTCGTACATCCTTGATAGGTTTGCCTGAGTTTAATATTTATTCATTTTCTATCTATACTTCTACAATAATATAATATAGAGGTAAAATTTGTAAGTTTGTTTGTAGGGGGTAATCTTTGGAACCGATGGTCAGATTGCCAAAATTCTTTCAATGATAGATAGCTACACTGTTCCTTGCTATAGGCTATAAAACATCACGCTACGATCAAATGGAGCCGAGCAGCGGAAGAAACCGCGCGAGATAAGCTAGTCGGCAATAAAGACATTCAACTTATTTCGATTAGTACTTTTAAATCAATCTTCACAAAGGAAAAGATCAAGAATATTTTCTTCAGAAAATGAAATCAAACCTTCAAAAGGATTAGGTGCGATACTTTTAAGTACATCAAATAATGTATGTTCATCAATAGTGTGTATAGGCAGTGTGGGTACGCTGCTATTGCATCCTTCAAATGCATTTCGTTGTATTCAGTAATTTTGGTATGTTGAAATATTTTTCTGGAGCTCTCAAGGTCACAATAGCAATTTGCATAAAAAGTGAGTGCTGTG